AAATTACCAGTGTTCTCAAGTAAGCTTCTCAGTGCCAGTGCTCACATTAAGGTAGGATGTTCTTTTTTCTAAAATGGGGAACATTACTTGTTCACTGTAGCATGAGTCACTTGCTTTTAATTGCTGTCATTTTAGTGATGGGTATCGTTATTGTACTGATGTGCCCACAGTCTGTTTTTCCTATATCAGAGCTTCAAATTCACACTGGTAGATCGTGCTGGACTGGCAAATGAAAAAGTAGATCACTAAAAAAGGTTGGGCACCCCTGCACTACAGTATCTGGAAAGCTCACTGGACAGCATTGGAGTCATACCCACACTGGGTCATGTCCAGAAAGCTGTGCTAGAAAATTGGAATTTTACACTCTTCAGTTAATATGATCAGTAAACAAAAATCTTTGATTTATTAAAGTATTTAGGAGCTTCTGCTTTCACATGACATGCATCCATTGTGTGATTTTCTCACGATCTATCCTTATGGCTACAAGAATCAATCAGAGCAAACAGTGTTCTGATTGTGCTCTGTATACACACAGATTCAGGAATCCAAAATAACATTTTATCAATGCAATAATAAAATTAAATAAATACAAGACTGTATGTGAGTCAATGTGCTTTTATATACACTAATGGCTAATCAATCTCCCAGTAATTACAAAAGATATTAATATTTCAGATTTAAATAAGCTTACTGTGATACTTGAGTTAGTGTAGTCAACCTTGTAATAACCAGTTTCATACAAACATCAATATTCACAAGCAGTCCAAAGACCAGTAAATATTGAGTTACTTTCCTGCATTAACCTGTGTCACATGTACCATTGTTTGGAGTTCTTGGTGAATTGTGGAGTGTTAAAATGTCAACATTTAATCAGGCTTGTGTGTGAATTGAGGATGTGTGGTCAGGCACAGTTCCGATGAGGATTTAAAATTCCCTAGGGCACAGGAACAGCTGGATCTCTGTCCAAGCTCGTCCAGGCTTTGTCCACAAGAGAACGGCATGTTAGCGCAGGACGAGCCAAGAGGCATCACGCTGAAGTCACCTTCCACCGGATTTCAGAATCGATCACAGGAGAGGTTTAGGTGTGGAGAAACCTAGGAAGTCTAGGTTTTATTACCACTACAGTGAATACTCATTGATTATCCAGCAGTTCAACGCCTGTGTTATTTCAGTGATCGGGGGAAATTAGTTGGGAGCTTGTCAAGAACCTTCCCTTGTTGAGTCTTGTGCGGGAATCTGGGTCACGTGGGGTCTTTCAGCCTGGCAGGTGTTGTCTAAGTGGGGTTGTCTGTGGTCTGATATGGGACTGCAGTCTTGCCGGTGTTCAGCACTGGAGAGCTGGACGGACTGCCCCGCTCATCGGTGGGACACTCTGGTCCTGTCGGGATTGGTGACAGGTGTCCTCCAGCTGGGGTCAGAGTCCAGGATCTCCTCCAGCTCGGAGCCGCACACTGAGAGGGTTTTTCCCCTTCAAGGCCGGAGAAAGATGATGGTTGTACAACTGCTCTGATCGCTTCCTTCAAAAATATTCATCGAATATCCATAGCATTTAAAAGGATTTCTAAAAAGCTGTCTCCTTTGAGTTGCATCAAGCTCAGGAGACTGCAGGCTGCGTTTTGAACGCCACCTTTCTATTTTGAAGGTGCTCAGGTGAGGTTATCCCTCTTCAGAATCCCGGGAAAGAAACAAGAGTTCAGGCTACAAAGGTGAAGCGATCGCCAGGCCAGTTATTTCTGAATTCAAGAGGCGGCACAGCAGCACAAGAGCTTTGCGAGCTCTTACGGAGGGTCTCTTTGTACAGCAGCTGACAAGCAAGCATTGCAAAATCACATCTCTGTAACTGCTTCCTCATTCTGGCTAAACATACATATTCCCTCATCCTGCCGTTAGGAAAGTCTAACCACCCGCGCCGGACAATTTGCAATTGTCTGCAGTATGCATATCTTATTTTTAGCAACTGTTACAAAAACTGGTTTAGCGAAGGCAATTTATTTGTAGAATTATCAAAGGTTATTAAAGTTGTAGGCTTACGAAGAGAGCTAGAAAAAGATTTGGAGGAAGGTATGGATTTAGAGGAAGGCATCTATAAATAGGCTTACTATTATATTACATAATAATAATAATAATAATAATAATAATAAATTCCTTACACTTATATAGTGCTTTTCTGGACAGTCCACTCCACCACCACCAGTGTGCAGCCCTACCTATATAATGCGACAGACTGCTGGTGCAGAATGGTCCCTGTGTGTCTCCCAGCTGGGGCTGCTGGTGCAGAAGGGCCCCTGTGTGTCTCCCAGGTGGGGCTGCTGGTGCAGAATGGTCCCTGTGTGTCTCCCAGGTGGGGCTGCATTTCAGTGGGTGATGAAGTGAGTCTCCACCTGTGCGTAAAGTACTTAGGAATCTAAATGTCATACACAAGATAATATTCTTTATGCTATACTAATATAAAATCATACAATATA